CACTGGCCACATCAAACAAATGGAAATCCAAATGAGCAAGAGTAGCTATTCTAATATCAGATAAAATACACTTTAAACCAAAAACCATAAAAAAGAGGAAAGAAGGTCATTATATAATGATAAAGAGAGATCTATCCAGTAAGAGGCTATAAAAATCATAAATATATACACACTCAGCATTGGACCACACAGATACATAAAAAAACACTATTAGACCCAAACAGAGAGACAGACTCCAATACAATAATTGGGGACCTCAACACCCCTCTCTTGACATTGGACAGAACATCTAGGCAACAGATCAGAAAAATACAGGATTTAAAATACACTTTAGACCAAGAGAACTTGTCAAACATCTACTGAACATTTCATCCAACAGCTAAAGAATATATATTCTTCTCATCAGTACATGGAACATTCTCCAGGCTAGACCACATATTAGGTCATAAAGCAAGTCTCAACAAATTTTCAAAAACTGAAATCATTTCATGTATCTTCCAGACCACAATGGATTAAAACTCGAAATTAGTAACAAGCGAAATGTTGGACACTATACAAATACACAGAAATTAAACAAGTTCCTGAATGGCCTATGGGCCAAAGAAGAAACTAAACAGGAAATTTAAAAATTTCTTGAAATAAATGAAAATAAAGGCACATCATACCAAAACCTATGAGATATAACAAAAGTAGTGCTAAGAGGGAAGTTTATTGCAAATGCTTACTTCAAAAGAATAGAAAGACTTCAAATAAACAACTTAATGTTACACCTCAAAGGATTAGAAAAACAAGAACAATCTAGCCTCAAGATCAGTAGATGGAGAGAAATAATTAAATGAGAGCAGAACTAAGTGAAACAGACACCAATAAAAGATACAAAAGATCAATGAAACAAAAAGTTGGTTTTTTGAGAAGATAAACAAAATAGATAAACAATTAGCTAGACTAAAAAAAGAGAGAAGACACAAATAACAAAAATCAGAAATGAAAAAAGGAGACATTACAACCAATACCATAGAAACACAATCATTAGAGACTATTATGAACACCTATATGCCAACAAACTTGAAAACCTAGAGGAAATGAATAAGTTTCTAGACACATACAAACTTCCAAGACTGAACCAAGAAGAAATAGAAAATCTGAACAGACCAGTAGCTAGCTATGACCCTGAAGTAGTAATCAGTAGTCTCCAAACAAAGAAAAACCTAGGACCAGATGGCTTCACTGCTGAATTCTACGAAACCTTTAAAGAAAAATACAAATCCTTTCCAAACTATTTCAAAACACTGAAACAGAGGCCATTCTCCCAGACTCATTCTTTGAGGCCAGCAACACCCTAATAACAAAAGAAGACAGAGATATAACAAAAAAGAAAAGTACAGGCCAATATCCTTGATGAACATCAACACAAAAATCCTCAAAAAATATTATCATACAAAATACAACAGCACGTCAAAAAGATTATACATCATGATGACGTGGGATTCATCCTAGTGATGCAAGGATAGTTCAACATAATGTAGATCAATAAATATGATACACCACATTAACAAAATCAAGGACAGAAAGCATATGATTATCACAATAGATGAAGAAAAAGCATTTGACAAAATTCAACCTCCCTTCATTAAAAAGACTGTCAACAAATTACATATAGAAGGAAAGTAACTCAACACAATAAAAGCTATATATGACAAACCCACCACCGATATCATCCTAAATGGAGAAAAGCTGAAATCTTTTTCTTTAAGAGCAGGAACAAGACAAGGATTACCACTCTCACCACTTCTATTTAACGTAGTATTGGAAGTACTTGCCAGAGCAATCAGGCAAAAGAAAGAAAGAAAGAGCATCCAGATTGGAAGAAAACAAAGTCAAATTATCCCTCTTTGCAGATGACATGATCCTATATAGAGAAAAACTAAAAGACTCTACCAAAAAACTCTGAGAGCTGATAAACAAATTCAGTAAGGTTGCAGTATACAAAATTAATACACAAAAATCAGTAGTGTTTTTATACTCCAACAACAAACTAGTAGAAAAAGAAATTTAAAAACAAGCGCATTTATAACAGCTACCCCCCCCCCAGAATAATAAATAAATAACTAGGAATAAATTTAACCACGCAGGTGAAAAGAGCTCTACAATGAGAACTATAAAACATTCCTGAAAGAAATTAAAGAGGACACAAAAAGATGTAAAGACTTTCCATGCTCCTGGATTGGAAGAATTAACATTGTGAAAATGTCCATACTACCCAAAGTGATCTACAGATCCACCATATACCAAAATCAACTCAAAATATATTAAAGACTTAAATATAAGACCTGAAACTGTAAAACTCCTAGAATAAAACATATGGGAAACACTTCAGTATGTAGGAGTGGGCAGAGACTTTATGAGTAAGACTCCAAAAGCACAGGCAACAAGAGAAAAAAATAAATAAATGGGATCATATCAAACAAAAAAGCTTTTGTACAGCAAAGGAAACAATCAACAGAGTAAAAAGGCAACCTAGAGAATGGGAGAAAATAATTGTAAATCCAACACGGGATTAATATCCAGAATATACAAGGAACTCAAACAATAGTAAAAAACCAAATAATCCAATTTAAAAAATGGGCAAAAGAGCTGAGTAGACATTTTTCAAAGGAAAACAAACAAATGGCCAACAAGTACATGAAAAAATACTCATCATCACTAATCATCAGGGAAATGCAAATCAATATTACAATGATATATGAACTCATCCCAGTTAGACTGGCTATTATGAAAAGAGAGTAACAAATGCTGGCAAGGATGCGGAGAAAGGGGAATCCTTCTACACTGCTGGTGGGATTGAAAATTAGTATAGCCATTATGAAAAAGAGTTTGGAGGTTTTACAAACAACTAAAGATAGAACTACCATACTATCCAGCAATGCCACCACTGAGTATATACCCAAAGGAAAGGAAACCATCATGTCAAAGAGATACCTGCACTCCCATGTTTATCACAGCACTATTTACAACAGCTAAGTAATGGAACCAACCTAAATGTCCATTTATGGAGGACCGGATAAGGAAAATGTGGTAGATATACACAGTGCAATACTACTCAGCAATAAAAAAGAATGAAATTCTGCCACTCACAGCAACATGAATGAGCTTGGAGAAAATTATGTTATGTGAAACAAGCCAGGCACAGAAAGAGAAATACCACATGTCCTTGCTCCTAAGTGGGAGCTAAAAAATAAAAAAGGAAGGAAGGAAGTGAGAGAGGGAAGGAAAGAACAATCACAATAATAAGTTGAACTTTCAGCAGGAGAGAACAGAACCATGGTTACAAGAGGTGGGAAAGGGGAGTTGGAGAGGGGTAAGTGAGATATTGGTTAATGGACACAAAGAATGATGACGTTTTGTAATGAATATGCTAATTATCCTAAGTTGATCATCACATATTGTACACAGTACAACATCAACTCCGTATACAACAAAAATGTATAATCCACAACGTTTCAATAAAAAAAAAATATGCTCATGTTCAAGATATTTTTTGTCCAGAAGCTTTCCAATCCATTCTGAAAATCAGCATGGAAAATCAGTCTTTTCAATAACCTGCAAAGGGGATAAACACAACTACATATAACAAAAACACTTTCAAATTCATGATCATGACTTTTAAAATCATTAAGTAGAAATACACTACAGGGGCCGGCCCGGTGGCGCACTGCTACAGTGCGCCGTTTGGGAGCGCGGCGGCACTCCCGCCGAGGGTTCGGATCCCACATACAGACCGGCCGCTCACTGGCTGAGCGAGGTGCGGGCGCAACACCGAGGGTTGCGATCCCATTGCCAGTCCCGGTCCGGTACGGGCACGACACTGAGGGTTGCGATCCGTTGCCGGTCACGAAAAAAGACAAAAAGGAAAAAAAAAAATAAGAAATACACTACAGAGAAATATTTGTGAAGATTCTTCTTGTTTTACGTTTTTTTTTTTCCCACTACCAAAATACCTATATTAAGAAGTTACATGACATTAAGCAAATTCCTTCTCTATTACTACTATGTGTTCTTTTACATTTGGCACATCTTGTGAGATTTTTTATTGAAACCATCTTTCACTGAATTATAAAACTAGTCCTCAAGTTTCATTTTTAACCTTTTAAGGCAGAATATTTGCTAGGAAGTCATCCATAACCATTAAATTAATGCTAAAAAAAAAAATGAGAGTGAACACTAACCTAGATAGAAGGTATAATTAGATTGACTTCAAACTTTGTGAAGATAACAAATATTTTTTTAAAAACCTGAGAAATGGTGATTAAACTAAGTTCAAAGAACATCTGACTTCAGTTTCTATCTTGTCATTGTGATGTTTCAATTTTAATATAAATGCTTATAATTTTTAATGTTCATAATTTTTACAGGAAAAAAACCACCGTGTTACATTTAGAAGTTCTAATGTTTATCACCATCTGATGCTGTCATGGAAGCAATTGCTACTTACACTCTTTTAAGAAGTGAGAACTGCAATTCCTCTAACTGATGACAATGTAATTATTCCTTTTACTGTCAAAATAGAAGTGATTTCCCTTCCTCACACACATGATTACACATGCAAATCCAGGCTTATCTAAAATCTTATAAGTGCACTGAGTGTCTGAATCTGAATGAGCAAGTTCACATGAACAATGAGCCTTGGTGATCATGGAAACCAAGTCCACAGCCATCCACTCAAAACATTTTTATCATCCCCTTCTCCTGTAGGAACTCATTCTTCAGCATCCGCACAGCTTTCAACACAATGTCATATCATCTACAATATACAGCAACAACCATTACAAAAATAACCAGGAGGAAAAAGCCACAGTGAATCTGAATGTCTCGTCTGGAAGTTTAAATGACTGCATTTACTATTCATTAACACATGCAAAAATCAGCCTTTCTGAAAATCAGGAGCCTTTCACAAGATTTGTGCCATGCTGTGAATGCCGCTTGGTTGAATGATGTCTTACCTGGTCTTTCAGCTGCTGTACAGAAGTCTGAAGGTGCAGAATCTGACTGAAGAGCGGGCTCTGCAGGACTGACTTCAGAAGGCTCAGTTTGTCTTCATTTGCTATATCCCCCCGTTCTCGAAGTTTGGCCTGCAAGCGCTCTGCTGCCTGCAGGGCCCGATTTTTGTCTATACCAAAAAGCAGTATTAGCCAATAAGATTCAAAGGACAGATGTCAAACCTATGAGGATTTCAAGCTTGTAGAAATCTTAAAATAACTCCTTTCAAGTGCACAAAATTGTCTTTTTAACTGAGAACAAAATGGTACAAAAAGCACAAATTTTTTAAATTGAGTACAAATGAACAAAAAGCACAAAATTATGTTCTTCTTAATACTTTAAATTTCTCTCCCCAAAATAAAACAGCAAAATTTTTTTGGCAGCTGGCAGTAAAGGGATCATACCCTGGAAAATAGCAAATTAAATAGCATATTTACATATGCTTCAAACTAATCCAATTCAAATAGTTATCCAGCACTTCATTAATCAGGCACAAAGTTGCAAAAGTAAATATTTTGAGTAAGTTGTGTCCTAATAGATTCTAATATCTCACACAAGCATACTTCCACCAGACAGTTTCTACCACAAATAATAGTTAAAAACATCTCCCTGAAACACATACATATAAACATAAACTTAAACTTTCTTATAAGTGAAGCCAAATTTGTTTTTTTTTTAAAAAAAGGTATTGTTCAGATATATGCCCTAACAGATTCATGATAGTAACAAGTAACACATACATATAAACATAAACTTAAACTTTCTTATAAGTGAAGCCAAATTTGTTTTTTTTTAAAAAAAAGGTATTGTTCAGATATATGCTCTAACAGATTCATGATAGTAACAAGTATATCTATTAAAATATGTTTTCCATATCACAGTAATCAAAAACAGTGGAAATCATCACCAGAGATAGTTTCAATAGCACCAAATCTGGAATTACACAGAAATGGGGTAATTAAAACACAAATTGATATTGACCACAAGTCCACACACGTACACACACACACAAAGTAAAACAAAAAATATTTAATCACATGCAGAATTTTAAAAGCAAACAATGATAAAGACACACATGAGAATTTTATTCTGGGTCCTATTTCCTCTGGTATTTCAGAATACAAATATAATATTTATTCCCATGTCAATTCTTGGAAGACATGCAACTCAGTAATAGTTAACAGAATACAGTAAAGACTAGAATGTAATGGTTTAAACAATTCTATATTTCCCCTTTCCTTTCCACTATCTTGTAGAAACTTTCCTATGTGGAATAGTAGTCTTTATGTTGTACAACTTCAGTATAAAATGTGTGATGAAGGAAAAGCACATCCCTGAATTTTCATTACCAGCAGAGTACCAGGAACAAAAACCACAGTAATGATACCCACGATCACAAAATCAGGTTCCTTCTTCCTTTACTGCCACCAACTCTCGTAACTCACAGCTGTCAAGGTATCAGCAATAATCAACAAGGTGCCAGACTGGAAATCCAGACACTTTCCAACAGTCTTACACAAAGAGCTATCTGGTAAGAGACTGGGGTGTCAGATGATTGCAGGTATGTACCAGACCTGATATACCTGTTAAATAGTTCTACAAACCAGTTTCTATAAAACTAAAGAGCAGTGGAGAAAAAAAGATTTAACATATAAGCCTGGGAAATCTGGTTATTTCAATATAAATTATTTTATGTTGAAATTAAACTGCCTTAAATGAAGTTTGTCAGCCTAAATGTTTGATACTTTCTCTTTTTTCCAATTAAAAGCAGAGGTCAGTAATTCTCCACTTGCCACAAATAAAAGGAAAAGTAATGATCTTCTTTCAGTACTGAAAATGCTGTTAAGTTTTCTGGTGCTATCCAGAAACAATCATTAACCAGAATTGAGTTCATAAATAAGAACTGAGCTTACATTAAGCTTTATTAAAACACATAATTGGTAGAATATCTCATGTGTATTTAACTTTTCTTACAAGTGATTTGTTTTTTATAATACTTCAGGTGAAACTGTCCAAATACAGAAACACATTACCCAAATACAGCGCTAGTGGGTAAAAACTTTTTAAATCTAAGTTACTACAGACAGAATCTTGTGATGTACAACATACAATATTTCAAAGATACTAGTGGAAGGAGTTTCAATTCTTACAAAAGTAGGCAGAAAGGAGTAAGTCTTACCTATGGTCTCAAGCATTTTTTCAAAATTCAGTTCTTCTCTATAATTCTTTAAAACAGCAACTTTTCTCTGGGGAGAAAAGAAATAAAATGGAATGGTTATGTTTTATCAGAACTTTTTTATTGTATTCTAGAACTAAATACTCTAAAAAGCACTTGATACTACTATAATGCCTTTGATTATTAAAATCCTGTTGATTTAACTTAAAATAGTTCTCTTTACAGGCGAAAAAGAAAGTAATCATTTTAGGACTTACTTATATATATTTGCCCATAATACTTGCATAGCAAAGTAAAAGGCATGCACTGTTTTAAATAATGGTAGATGTTTCCAAACTATTCCTTTAAGAGCTTCTCAACACATACTGCTATAATCTTGGATTCACTTACAAATCCTTAACCACAGAATAAGGAGCTTACTTGACTGCATAAGAAATTCTTTTTTCTTTAATTGAAACAGTTGATTGTACATATCTGTGGGGTACACAGGTATATCAATATCAATACCTGTGTGCAATATGTGACGTTCAAATAAGGATAATTAGTATTTTCAACATTATACAATGGAACTGATTTTTGTGGCCCTTTACAAATTCCCCCTTAACCTGCCTTTCCCTCCCCCTTTCCCACCTCTGGTAACCTCAGTTCTGTTTTCTCCTCTTGAAAGTTCAATGTATCCCTTCCTTCCTTCCTTCCTTCCTTCCTTCCTTCCTTCCTTCCTTCCTTCCTTCCTTCCTTCCTTCCTTCCT